TGTGTTGGGAAGGTACAGGGCAGGAAGATTTTCTCCACTAATCAGCACATTTGATAGATTTTACTCCCACCAGGACAATCAGGGTAGTGTGGCTAAGTGGTTGATGCAGGCCTCTCTGACCTGGGTAACCTTGACAGTGTACATGCTTGTCTTTGTGTGACCCTTTCTGGGCACTGTTCGCGAGTATTCAAACAATCTTCTTGTTTAGCTATGGAAATGGCATACCTTTGGAAGCAACTTGTTAAAAAAATCAGTTTAATAGGTAGTTGAACAACTCAGTATGTAACTCATAATGTCTACATTGGGGCAACTTGCTTCTAAAAGTTATGCAATTTGTACTATACCAGCATTAATAAATGTGAGGATTTGGGCCAGTGCATTTTTTTCTCACACATTTGACATAGCATCACATTCCAATAGCATGAAGGAGTTTATAAATGGTTCCTTTCACTACCCCTCTTGGTAGGAATATTCTGTTCCAAGTCTGAAAAATACTACCCTGGTACATTCCAAATCAGAATGCTAAAAAAACACAAAACCCCCAGACCTTCCAGATCCAAATCAATAAAAAAGCAACAATAACATTTCTGTGTTACAGGATTACTTTGCTTGTTATGCAACCCTCCCTTAGTATTTACACTGTTGTTACTATGTTTAAAAGTAATGTTGTTACAAAGAGCAATGACCATTATTTGAAAAAGAGCTAGGAGCAACTTCTAACTTATTACCATAGTACTTCCAAGACTATGGTCTCTAAATGGTTTCCTGTGTGGGCATCTTTCAGTCTTGAGAGACTATGGTAATGTGCTCTGAATAGAGGTTTTGGAACAGTGTCTGGTGTGGTTGAGAAGACCAATTCGAGAGTGACAATCCCTTCCACACTGAAGACAAATACAATCTATCCTCTGTCCAGCTCCCTGATTTTGCAGGTTTCGGGACTGCCTCTTTGCCTCGGCCTGCTGAACAAGTGTCTCTTCAAATTAGGAGAGGCCATGCTGCACTGCCTGCCTCCAGGCTGAATGCTCAGATGTCAAGGTTTCCCATCTGTTGATTCCTAAGACCTCCAGATCCAGCTTGCAGATATCCTTGTATCGTAGCTGTGGTCTCCCTCTGGGGCACTTTCCCTGCACTAATTCTCCATACAGGAGATCTTCGGGAATCCAACTGTCAGCCATTCTCACAATATGCCCAAACCAGTGTAGACATCGCAGTTTCAGTAATGAATATATGCTAAAAATTCCAGCTTGTTCTAGGACTACTCTTGTGTGGAGATGGTACTAGAGGGAGGTGAGTCCACGCCCTGGCCCATCACTTGTGTTTTCTTCAGGCTGATTATTAATCCAAAGTCTTGGCAGACCTTGCTAAAAAAATGTATGAATTGTTGGAGGTCTTCAGCAGAATGGGCAACAACAGTTGTGTCATCGGTGAAGAGGACATCCTGCATACATTTCAGCTGGACTTTGGTCTTCGCTCTCAATCTAGAGTGATTAAAGAGTTTTCCATCTGATCTAGTCTAGAGACAGACACCTTCTGTTGCAGTTCCAAAGGCATGCTTCAACGTGACAGGAAAAAAAAAATCCCAAACAGGGTTGGCGCGAGGACACAGCCCTGTTTTACTCCGCTTCGGATGTCAAAGGGAGCTGATGTTGAGCCATCAAAACCTACAGTGCCCTTTGTTTCCTTATGATGTTAAGGTGGACATCCAATCTAGGGAAGTATTTTAAAAAGGTTGTCTCTGCTAACCAAATCAAAGGCTTTTGTGAGATCTATGAATGCCAAAAACAGTGGCTGTCGTTGTTCCCTCCATTTCTCCTGCAACTGTCTGAGGGAAAATGTTTTCCTAATACAGAGTATAGTGGTGCCTCGCTTAGCGACATTAATCCATTCCGGAAAAAATGTTGCTAAGCGATTTCATCGCTAAACGGAATAAAAAAGCCCATAGAAACGCATTAAAACGTGTGTAATGCGTTCCTATGGGATTAAAAACTGACCTTATGCGAAGCTCCTCCATAGGGGTGGCCATTTTTGGTGCCTCTAAAGCGAGGCAAAACAGCGGGCGGCCATTTTGTTTTTCTGGCAGCCATTTTGGAACAGCCGATCAGCTGGCTGAAAATGGGGGCTTTCGATGATCGCTTCCCCGTGATCATCGCAAAGTGATTTTTCCCTATAGGGGCCATCGCTAAGCGATCGCTCTGGCGATGGCCAAAACCCCATCGCTAAGCGATTTCATAGCTTAATGGAGCGACCGCTAAGCGAGGCACCACTGTATAATTTTGATTTGGTCTAGCCCAATACATTTTGCTGTCTGAGGACAAGATAGTGCCCTTCTCCATTTCATAGGCAGAAGCAGACTAGATTGGCAGTTGGATCAGATTTCAACACTGGCAAACAGCAACAGATCTTTTTTTTTCAAGACAGAAGAGGGGCAGAAGGGTTCAAAAGAATGGCTCTGGGGGTCACTGATGTTCCCAGTATCGGTCACCTGAGGCAGTTTTCTCATTCCACCTAATTGCAGATGAAACCCAGTTCTTACAAGGGAGTGCTGATAAGTATTGAGCCTTTCCCAGAAAAAAATGAGCTAGGAAGCTGTAACTGCCACACTATTTTACATATTCCCCCAGGAAGTCAATGCACTTGCAGCATCTGTCCTGCAGCTTCTTAAATCCCTGCAAATAAAATATTTCCAACTGCTGGTGTAACCTCTCATTTGCAGCATTAGTTGCCTCCAGAACACTCCCAAATCGTTGTCCCTTTTGGTGTTTTTTGAGTTTGGGGAACAGATAATAGTCAGAAGGAGCCAGGTCAGGAGACTAGAGTGGATGGGGCATCACTTGAAAGCCTAAGGACGTCAGTTTTGCTATTGTTTCACCTGCAGTGTGTGACGAGGTGTTGTCATGCAACAGGATGACACCTTTGGAGAGCTTTCCTCGACCTTTTGCCTCATTTTCGTCAATAAAGCACAGTAATATTTTGCATTGATGGTTGAACCCTCTTGGAGGTAGTCCACAAGCAGAACTCCCTTCTTATCCCAAAAAACTGTTGCCATTTGCTTCTGCACTGATCTTTGCACTGGGGACTTCTTTGGCCTGGGGGAACCACTCTGCTTCCATTCCTTAGACTGCTTCTTTGTTTCAGGATCATAACAGTAGATCCATGTCTCATCACCAGTTACCAGTTTGCCCAGGAAATCTGACTCATTTCTTGCAAAATGTTCCAAAACAGCTACTGATGACTCCACACGTTTCCTCTTTTGTTCGGTTGTCAAAAGTTTGGGGATCCACTTTACTGCCAGCTTTCTCATTTCCAAGTTGTTGTGGATAATGGCACCAACTCTCTCACAGGATATTGCCAGATATATAGCAATACTTTTGGCTGATATTTGGCCATCCTCCATGATCATGTCATGGATGGCTTTCACATTTGCAGGCACAGAGACAGAAACAGGCCTTCCACTGGGTTCTCACTTTCAACACCGAAATGGCCAGTTTTAAAATTGACAACCCAGTGTTTAACTGTTGCATATGAAGGGCCACTGTCACCCATAGTTTGTGACATTTAATCATGGATCGGCTTTGCACCTTTCCCTTGGAGAAACAGGAACTTGATTATGGTCCTATGCTCTTCCACACTGAACTTTTCTGGAGGTGCTGCCATGTTCACTTTGGACCTGAACATGAAAGATTAGTTAAAATCATAGGTAGTTGATTTTTGCACCATTGAATATAGGCAAGCAGCCAATACACCCTGCAATTTATAGCTTCCTAGCTCATTTTTTTCTGGGAAAGGCTTAAGGCTTATCAGCATCCCCTCGTACTCTCAATAACGCTTGGGACAGCATAAATCCTTGGAATAGGCATCCTTCATTCTCCAGAGACTGTGGTATCCTGCTCTTAGCATAAATCCTTGGAATAGGCATCCTTCAATCTCCAGAGACTGTGGTATCCTGCTCTGCATGGAGGACTTGGAACAGAGTCTAGTGTGGCTGAGAAGGCCAATTCAAGAGTGCCAATCCCTTCCACACTGAGGACAAATACAATCTGTACCCCCTCTAGCTCCCTGATTTTGCTGCTTTTGTGACTGCCTCTTTGCCTCGGCCTGCTGGACAAGGGTCTTATAACATAATATACAGTATATTGATTTATGTTTAATTGTATCTGTTTCCCCCACCCCATACCAATAAGAAAATTGCCAAGGTAACAAATCAAGTGAAAGTTTTGGTAACATGCAGTAACTGGAATTAAATCCACCGTTATACAGGAGGACGGTTAAAATATTCTCATACAGTAGTTGTGCAGAGTTAGGTGTGCGCAAGCCATTTGAAATCAGCTCTGTCAGTTTGAACATCACCTTCGGCCCTTTCCCGAGCCAGCCACGCTTCTCCAATCCATGCCACGAAGGCAAAGATTTTTAAACATGTTTGTCTTGAAGTCCCACTCCGTTCCCTTCAGCTTATTTTTCAGGCTGCTGTTCTGAACCCTCTTTACCCTGGAGTAAATGTCCCACAGAACTCCCGGACAAACGATTTTTTGTTGTTGCTGGGCGTGGCTCCTCCGCGCCAAACCGCTCCTGGTCATTGACCGGGTGGGCTCCCCGCTCGACCTGACAGATCCAGGCAACTTCGTGCGAGGCTGAGCTCCGGCCCTTGGGTTACATTCGGCTTTGCAAACGCGACGGAGAAACAAACGAGGGTGGCTGTTTCTGCCTTTTTAAAACCACTAACCGAAAGGGCGCCGAGAGAAGAGGCGAGCCGGCAACCGTCGTGCCTTCGCGCTCGCCCTCGGGCCGCCTTTCCTTTGGCCCAAGAAGCCGGATCAGGATCTCGCCCCCGCGGCCCCCCGCCGCCGCCGCCTCCGCCGCCAACCTCACCGTGACAACCGGGGAAAGGACCCCAGGAGGCTTAGCGTGCTGCAACCATGGCGACGCACCTCGCCCCGCCCCACTCGGGGCTGGGCGGCTCGCGATTGGCCAGGGGGTGGGCGCTCGCCCTCTGCCCCCTGACCCTGCGCGGCGGCGGAGGTGGAGGTAGCGGCAGCGCTTGCTGCCCGTTTCCTGCTGGCCTGGCGGCGGCTGGTGCCGCTGCTGCAGCATTGGGCGGGCGGGAGAATGCGGCGCAGGTCCCGGCTGCTGCTCTGCTTCGCTTTCCTCTGGGTGCTGGGCATCGCCTACTACATGTACTCGGGGGGAAGCGCCGCGCTCGCCGGAGGCGGCAGGAAGGTGAGAAGAGCGAGCGAGCGAGGAGAAGAGGGAAGGGGGGGGAGGACAGGCAGGGAGGCGAGGGAAGGAACGAAGGAGGCGCCGGCGAAAGAAAGGCGGCGGGCAGGCTGGTTGGTTCCCTGACCGACCTTCTCCCCCCCCCTCCGGGCCACCCCCTTCTCTTCGTTTGGAAGCGATAAGCCTGTTTTCCCGGCGCTTCCGCCCAAGCCGGGCTTGGAGCCACCGCGACGCCTCCACGCCTCCCTTCCTCTTCGCCCGGCTTGTCTCCCCAGCTCGC